TTCTACCACTACCAAAGTAACCAGCATGGAATCCCGCGTGTCTCCTACAGAGAAGAGAGACTTGGACCGTCCTGCGATCAGTCGTCGCTCGGTATGGCCACCATACCTCATACCCTATCACTGTTCAATGATTGACATGCTTATTAGTGCGATCAATGTCGAGCGCGAAAGGTGCAAGCATGTGTCGTCGAAACTGATTTGTTCTAACTATCTGTTCTTGTTCCTAGATTGGGTGTGACAGAGCAACGCCTTGTTCCAACTGTGTATCTGCCCGCCTTGAATGCACTCACAGTAGGATCGCACCAAAGCCAAGTACTGCTAGACAAAGAGTCTTGGTCTCTGAACAATAGTGATTAGAGTCTTCTACGCTATATCTGTTACACCACTGACAATCATTGAAAAGTGAACGAAAGATTGATGATATCTCTCGTGATGTCAGTAGCATCAAGTCTCTGTTAGCAGGACTCGATCTGAGCAGAGTTACGCCAGCACAAACAGCACAAGAGCATCATCATCTGACTGCTGTACGTCCGGATTCAGCCATCTTAAATGAGCCAGAAAACCCTCGCCATTCTTCGACTACTGCTCCGCTTCCTCGTTGGGATTACTCCGCCCATATCATAGGCTTTGTTCAATCTATTGTCCAGGACAATGGCTCAGTTCAAGCAGGTTCTGAATTGAGCATCACTGTTTCTTCACTCAAGAGTCTTGCTAATGCTTTGCAAAACAACCAAACTACACGGAGTCATCAGCGGAAACCCCATGAACAACCAGAGAGTATCCCAACGCCCCCGTTAGAAGCTGTGGTGGAGATTCTGCGATGGGCGAACGGTACGTTATAACAAGGTCATCTTTTTGCTTGAGTGCCCCTGATATGTGTTCCTTACTTTGTGTTGCTGCTTGAAGCTACTTCAACTCCTAATATTTTTACAGCTACGATATTTCGAGTGCTGATAGTTTTTAGAGCATTCTCGAGATCACCGAATCGTCTGGATATGTAGGTTTCTGCCGCTCGAAATCTTCCTTAACATATGCAATAAAGTCTATTTCCGCGTCGTCGAAGACCATACCGAGGCCGAGTTCATCATTGCCAATAGCTTCTTATCCTATGTATTTGCTGAATACGCCGTCATCCATGGAGATACTAAGCCACGGGAATACTGTCGTTTCTATCGATCCAAGGTTGGCAGCGGCCTTACAAAACTCCCTCTGTTGGCAACACCATGCACGGAGCTGATTGCTGCTCTTGCCTTGGGTGTATGTACCAGTCAACTATAATTTCCGCAGGAAACTGACATCTGGAAGGCGATTTACTTGGTTGAGGAAAGTCGAGCGTCGCAGGCGTGGACTTTGATATCAACTGCGATGACACTCTGCCAGACCCTTGGTTATCATCGACTTGAGTCGCCTGAGAATGACCCTCAAGCAACGGAGCCTCGCTTGTTCTGGGTAGTTTACGCATACGAAAAGGGACTTTCACTACGACTGGGACGCTGTTCTGGCGTTCGTGACTCCGAAGTAACTCTGCCCTGTCAGGCAAATCAGCATCGAAGCATTCGTATGGGCCGCATCCAAGGAAAGGCCTATGATCAGCTATATAGCCCATCAGGATTGAGTGCACTAAACGCTTCACGTTCCGAGGCTGCGAAGAAACTTTCACAAGAGCTCCAGTCGATAATTGATGAAACTCATACCGAAATCGCAGTCAGTGGTGCTTTCTTCTCCTCCCTCTGAGTGACTAACATGGTTTGTAGGAAGCTTTGGCGGAGAGTCGAGGTATAGATGGCGACCCTATGAAAACCATATATCTTCATTGTGATCTTGTTTGTCAATCATCTTTGATGGCAATGATTCTTAGGGTGTTGCCTGGTTATCATGGAACCGATGTCCATGAAAGCTGCATTACTGTCGCGCGCAATACATTGGACCTACATGATCAGTGCATGAAGCTTGTCAATGGTTGTAAGGATCCTTTGTTGATCAGAAGATATATCAACTGGTAAATTGATCTTTCTCGACTCAATAGATTTATCGTGGATTAATCTGTCAATCTAGGGGCATATTGCATACGCCTTTCTTTCCGTTCAGTATCATGTTTACCCATGCAGTACGGTACTCAAACATGGAGGATTTGGATCGTCTCGACAGGTTCGCTGCCTCGTTCAAGTCGGAAACTGCCAACGTAGAACCAGCAACGCATCCGCATCGACTGTACGAGCTTCTCAGTAAAGCTGCTCGGCTCAGCACCCAGACGTCCCCCGAGATGTCGCAAAATAACGAGTCTATATCGAGTTCAAGCGACTTTACGATGGTGGATCCTGAAGCTGCAAATACTATGAGTGAAGTTGGGGCAACTGATCTTGCAATGGGTGCCGAATACGACGCGTCCGATATTGGGGAGTGGTTTCACAGCAATCAGCAATTCATGCGACTTCTCCACGAGGACGTACCATATTGAGCAGGCTTCAGTATTTCTAGAGGATGACGTTAGCACATAGTATGTGGCATAATAAATAAGCTTAGATGTCATAAGTGACGTGGCAAGCTATTTATATGTTCACAGTAACACACGTCAAGGAGGAAACTGCAAGTCTACATGCAGCTTATCTTGCTTTATGAATACTCTTCACATGGAAAAAAGACGTATAAATAAGGTGGAGCTCCATATGGCATTATAAACAAGGTTCTCATGCATAAATGTTCTGGAATCACAAGAAAAACGCGGTGTGTCTGTCACATGCAAAGCTAGCCACTACTTTCGCAGGCTAAACCTCACCAGGAAAGGACACCAAAGGGAATGCCGTGTCACGAGATGAATGGAATGCTGATGCATCGGGCTGATTTTGTTGCCGATCATTCCGTGTCAGAACTAAATTATATCGTCAGATCAGCTCATAGCTAAACTCTTATCGTATATCGGCCCACGCGGATGCCGAGGCACAGAGATATACCTGTCGACACCCCAACAGAAATTGCGACCTGACAGCAAGATGTCTTTTAATTGCGAAATCCTTTCACCCGAATATTCGATGAAATGTACTAGCCCTGTAAAACCTTGCATTGGCGCCTGTTAGCATCATGCAAGCCTCATCGACGCACCAACACAATAATCAGCCTCTTACTGCTGCTTTCAGTGGCTCAACATCAACGCCGTATTCTCTTTTCGAGATCAGGTATGAATTCTGTAAAAACATATTTAGGCTCGTCGCTAACTCGATCACCAGACTTGAACGGGAGTTTGTCGTCTTCTGGGGTAGCCGATACGAATCATCAGATCAATTACTGAAGGGAGTAGTAGTTTTGTGCTTACAATCGCCCCTCAAGCTCGAACAAGTCAGACTTCGCCTCGATGGTACTATACGCCATGCATGGCTGAATGATCCCGGAGTGGCTCATAACACCAGCATTCTCAAGCACAAATGGGCACCATTGATGGACACTGGTGGCAAGAGCGTGACTTTGCCAGCAGGCAATTATGAGTGGCCTTTCGAACTTATGATGGCGGGAGATACCCCCGAGAGCCTCGAGGGCATTAGGGAAGCTTCCATCACCTATGATTTGAGAGCGACCATCAGCAGAGGAAAGCTAGCTCGACATATCAGTTGCACCAAGAAGCTTCGAATAATCCGTACATTCGCGCCTACAGCTTTGGAGTTCATGCATAATATGAGCGTTGAGCAGACATGGATTAACAAAGTCGACTATTCAGTCTCTATACCGACAAAGGCCGCTGTATTCGGAGGATCGATCGTTCTTGAAGCAAGATTTACGCCACTGGTCAAGGGCCTTGAGCTAGAGAGGATCGTCGCAACTTTGATGGAGTTTCAAGAGTTCAGCATGCACAGTAGACACTACATCTACACACGAGAACACAAGAGCAAGCGCGAAATATCTCGTTGGGACTTTGACATCTCGAGAGAGCAATATTGGCAGGACACAATAGAGGAAACGGGCCAAGAGGGATGGGTTCTGAAAAAGACGCTTCAATTACCGAAAAGACTGGGAGAATGCATCCAAGACATAGATGCCCAAGGAATCAGGGTGTACCATAAGTTGAAGATACACATACCTATTCGGAACCAGGATGGGCATGTTTCTCATGTAAGTCAACCGATGCAAAGGCACGCATCCTCGTGGACTAACATCTCAGCTTGACCTGGGAATTCCCGTCAGTATCTTCATCTCACCGTTCATCACACTTGACGATCAAGGTAATTTGGTAGATCAAGCCCCGGGCACACAAGGGCCACCGAACGAGTTTATTGGTCCACCAGTATATGGCGAGCATATCCTCGACCAACTATACGACAGTCTGGAGGATTGGCAAGTCCCTGGTCAAGCTCCACATCCAGTTGAAGGAGAGGGATCCGGCACAAGCACTCCACACCGTACAGATTCGAACGAGAGCCAGCCATATGAGAGGTCCAATACATTTGAATCGTCGCAGTCCAGTCAGAATCACGATCCATCGCGCAGCTCATCGGAGACCGTGTCTTCGAATTCAGAAGAACTTGCTGAGCTTAGTAAAGTTCCAACATATCGCACTGCGCTTCGGACTCCACTGCAACCACATGGTCAACAAGGCGGGGCTTTGCCTCCTGACTATCGAACGGCAGCGGTAGCGGCAGCGGCGACAAACAACAGCTGAACGTTGGTCGCTATTTTACTCTCATGGAAGAAATGGTCACATTTTCATCACGATTTATGGTATTAGGGAAATACAAAAATTGGATTTAAAGCGAGGAATTGGTTATAACCAACCAAACAAGACGTTATACTTGGATTATATTTTATCTCGGTTTATACCATGAAATAGAGACTCTGGTGTTTAACTAGCTTCTGGAACCTGTTGGCGCTGTCTTATGAAGCTAATCTACTTGATTTTTGCATTCCAGGCAGTTACCAGACCAACAAATGAAGTGCATCCTGCCAAACAAAACTAAATTTCATCCGTGGCTTATGGACTCAATGAAGCTCACCTGCTCTCAACCAATCAGCGCGCCGCGTTGGCTCAGTGGTAGAGCGTGTCACTAGTAATGACAAGGTCCAAGGTTCGATCCCTTGACGTGGCACATCTTTATGGATTCAGAACTTCGAATCCGGTTCACTGTTTTTTTATCTTTTTTTTGTTCTATGCTCTCTGTAGTTCCAGCCTTAGGGAGCTCCTGCTTAGAGCTCGTTGTTGCCTGCAAGTAAGCCAGAAAATGCCATAAATAAAGCTTTCTGTGTTAGGAGCATATCAGATATATCAAACTATTGCACAGAGAATATAAAGAGAGTAATTCAAAAGAATAGGAGTAGTTCCACCTATAAAATAGCTTGGCAATTTACAACTGAAGAACTAATTGATAACAAATAGTAACCAAGTTGTATAGTATGGTCAAGATGGTGCACCAGAGTACTGCTAATAGAATTCCATTCGCAATCTATTTACCAATTTACCTACCTTTTTTTCCCTACTTTTTCTCTATACTTACCTTTTCAGCTGTCCATTCCCTGGGAAACTTTCACAGCTCTTCTGTTTCTGACTCTATTCTCAGGCTTCCAGTCCTTTACCACTCTTGGTAGGCCTTCTCCTGCCGCTCAAACTTGGTCATTCGGCCCTTGTTCTTGACTCGAGCAACATCATCCTTTGGCTTATATTCGTCCTTCTTTGTCCAATTGACATGGTCGAGTCCTTCAAGGGCCCCCTCCCCCTCCTGCCCCATGTGCTCAGGATGCTGCTCTTTCTTAAACTGCTTCAGATCCTGGTATACTACGTAACCCGCACGGCGACACGGCATATGACAAGTCCTTGGAGGTGGACCACCCTTCAGCGGGACAACAGGAGTCAAGTCATCAGCCTTGTACGCAACAGGGTCTGCTTCGAAGAACTCGCTCTGCTCGTCGCGGCACTCCTTACACGTGAAGGTGCTGTAGCTAGTGTTGGAAGTTTGTCCAAGACATTTCCATTCCAAGGAAGCTGTGCTGGTTGAAGATGAGCTTTCCCATTCATTGGATCGCTTTCTTCCTGTTTGATTGAAAACGCGCCGGCACTTCTTGAAGCTCCGCTCGCCAGTGGCCCTGACTGCATTACAGTCCTGGCACTTGAGATCACGATAGGTGATGTGACACATACGGGGCGAAGCTTTTGAGGTGCGTTTGTGAATGTGGAGTATCTTGCTGGAAGGTGTAGAGATGAAAGTGCTGGTGAAGAGAGAAAGGATTTGATTGTATGGATAAGGCAAACATACTTATAGGCATTTTGTCATATCTGTTAGCCATAATTTATGATACAATGTTCTTTCAACCTTTCACTGGTTAATTAGTGTTGAGACAAAGAACTCCAAGAGTTTTTCGGGCTTGGTGGTGTTGAACAAATACATCGAAAATAATGGCTCTGTTCAGTCACGTTCTGCCCCTGTCCTGATATCGCGCTACAGATCTATTCTAGTGTTCTCAGCCTTTGACACCAAACATTGCTACTTATTGGTTCTTTCACATGTTCAACTTTCGCTTCCGTGTTCCCGGATCATAGAGAAAAGATGAAATAGTGAGGTTGGTTGTAGCCTGGGAAGACAATGCTGAGCTGAGTTCGTGTGGGCATATATATGCTTCCAGCCATAGGTCTCAACTGAAATAACGCATCTAGCTCACAATTCAGGCATTAAGGGAAGACAATGAGTCAAGACACAATTCCGGACAAGATAAAGTTCGGGAAAAGAGATTCAGGAACAATTTACTCTGAGATATCAGGAGATGCTACTATCTCATGGCTGTACGGTGAAGTAAACGTGTTCAAGCAAAGTACACGATTCTCCAACTTTGTCGGCTTTTATCGTGAGTTCATGACTTCAAGCACAACCTCAGCAACCCTATGGGTCATGCTTAGAAAAAGGCTACGAGAGGCAGGCAAGGGATATTTCTGAACTGTGACTCTTTGCTATTCCAATTTAGTAATCGAACCCTCCTGCAAAAGGCTTGGCAACACTTGATCCACCTCGCAAATGGCATATGTCGTAGGAATAACACGCCATGCCACTTTCTCGCAATTAATCGGAGCTTACTGTGCGTCTATACCATGAGAAACCATCATATACTTGGCCCATTAAGTATCACCTGCTGGTAAATCATGATACAGATGATGAATGAGATCGGTGTGCGCAAGAGTCCCGTTGGGTTGAGAACAAATAAAAGGGGGCAGCTTTCCGCCAATGAGACCAGCCAGTGAATCATTCTCTGAAGGGATAAGGCGCACATGAAGGCCATATCAACAACACCTCCTTTGCCAGATTTGGGTGGAATCGCAAAGCTTGCTAGAGTTGCAGAAACTATCATACCTCCCGGAGAATGACACATGACAGTGAGGTGTGTGCCTAAAGCAGCTTCCCCGGATACAATGTCTTTGATAAAATTTATGTCAATATCAGTGGTTTTTTTGGTGGTACTACGTTGTTGTTTGTTGGAGGCGCTCACAGATGACTCTTAGGCCTTGTCTATCTAGCTCGTGCATGATTTTGGAACAGTGTTCTAGGACGTGCCATGCGCCTGTGATTAAAGGGACTGCTTTTGAAGCAGCCATTAAGTAGTTGGTAAGTTGGTAGGTTCATCAGAGGTAATATATTCCGGAATAATGCCTGTTTCTGGCTGGTTGAAAAAGGTTCTCATATATTCGCATCCTCTCCCCTTCATGCGCATTCAGTAGAAGTTTGGAAGAGGCAGCCTGATTCAGGTGAATCTTGGCGTTAGGCTCACGTCTGACATCATCACTAAAGTGCAAAAAAAGAGGTCTGTAAGAAAACTGACGAACAAAAGGGGTTTGACTCAGTGACTAGACACGGCAAAAAAGAACGGTCGTGGAATTCTTCCCGCTCGAAGTTGACATAACAGTTAGGTACGAATGCATTATAGATAATGGTACAAGGATGGAATAAAAGATAATGAATGCATATATGGTAATCTATAAAACATGCTTCAACCAATGATCGAATCTCTATCTGCAATCCTCCATGAATCCTCTACCCAGCTCAAGGAGCGTTGGGGTCCACGCGGATCAAACACGATCCCATTCCGGGGACTTTACCCCAAGTCTCATGAGGCTCGCGAATGTTCTCCAAATCCCAGATCTTCTTAATTGGCACCTGGACCTTTTCATCAATCAACAGATTCATGACAGCCTGAAGATCTTCAATGAAGGTTGGTCGGTCGCGGTCAATGTAGTAGAAGGATGTGCTTCTCTTGGTAAACAAGCAACCGTTCTTGGCCAAAAGCTTGGCCACTGCAGCAAACTGTGATCGTGGTTTGGCATCGTCACCCTGGATGATGTTCATGTTAGCACCGAAACCGACAAGACGACTCGGTTCGTCGGTGATGAGAATGTCCCATGAATCATTGTAATGCTCAAAGCCAATCGGATCATACACAACGTGTGCACCGCCGCGCTGCTTCATCTCATTCATCCAGTTCTTATTAGTGTAAGTGAATGGAGTGACTCCAAGCTGGCGAAGAGATTCGTGGTTGCGCTCTGATGCAGTTCCGTAGACTTCAGCGCCCTCCATCAAGCACAGCGTCATGATGGCATAACCTACAGCTCCACTGATGGAATGAATGAAGACGCGCTGGCCTTTGCCAACCAGGTTTGTCGCGCGATGAACAAGACCGTAAGCAGTGTTCCAGTCAAGGATGGCAGCAACTGCCTGTCGCATATCAACACGCTCAGGAATAGCGATCAAGTATTTCTCAAGAATGTTGATCTTCTGAGCCTCAGCGTCGTATACACTGAGTGCACCAACGAGCTGTCCAGGGCGGAATTTTGAGGACTTGTCCCCGTTAGCGCTGACGCGACCAACAAAGCAGTAGCCTGGTGTCAAAGGTGCAGACTTTTGCATTGGGTATGTGCCAAGTCGCATTTGGATGTCGGCACCAGAGAAGCCAGAGTAAATGACATCGACTTGAACTTCGTTTTTGGCTGGAGGGGGGATTTGAGCGGTTACAACGCTCACGTTGGAGGGGCCGCCAAAGGCAGAGTAGACAACTTTGCGGATTGTGTGAGTGGTCATTGTGTTTGTAATTGATGTGATGCTTGAGTTCTTTGTATATTTATTTGTGTGATGATGATTTGACCTTGATTGAGGGCTTGGCCATCATTTATTTATATCCAATCCATTTCTCATTGAAGCCTTCAACGTCACCTTCTCGGGGCGCATCAGCCAATCAACATCTTGGGTTGTTCAGTGAAGAGCCTCGCGTTTCGCTGGGTCTCGCACTCGCGAGCGAGAAACGAGTGCGAGTGACATTCGGATCATCATATCCCAGCCCGACGGAGCGGAGCAAATATTAGCCCGTCCCTCCTCATAAGCCACAATCATGCTTTGCCTCAGCATAGCCACAAACTGCTCTCATCCGTCTCTCGAGATGTCCGCTTGTTAGAACATGAAGCTTTCGTGATCGTTGCCATCTTCGGGATGAATACTAGCTGTTAAACACAAGATGACTGAATTCCATATATTTAATAGCCATAGTCTTAGCTGGACGGCATGACTCATGTGGTCTCAGCTGTTGGTTGTTAGCTACGTCTGATTAATGCGTGGAGCAGTCCATGCGCTGGCCATAAGCGACAATGGAAACAATTTTTCTCATTCCTTCTCAAATAACCATTTCATAAACACCAAGATGCATCGCTATACGGTTCAAAAGATAGGCGATGAAGTCCATTACGTACGCATCTTCGAAGAGTGGGAAGACTCTGACTATGACGATCAAAGCGAAGAACCTCCTAAGCCTATCAACCAAGAAATCGCTCAATTGATAGCCTGGATCGATGACTCGGAAGATCCTATACCTAGCTTGGAGGAAGTGCATGCGAAATATCAGGAACTGTTCGGAAAGCTCTTGGCAAACAATCGTTCTCACAGAAGTGACATTGAGCGTTTTTGGACCGACAGATTATTGAATGGTACAGCGGTGAGTCAAAGATGCTAAGAAACCTGCATATCGATCAGCTTCTGATATTACTCATCGAGTTCAGAAGAGAGATGGTGTTCTCAGGCTGCCTGGATATGGCCTCCCATTGAGTTTCGGGATAGAAAATGTG